AGGAAGCCATCATCTTCACATGATCTTAATTCACAGGGTTTGCACTGTGGCATCACTATCACTGTCTTTGTCTGTGTAGATGAATTTTCAAGAATGGTCAATTGTTATATTCAGGCAAGAAGAATCAATCACTATAATCCTATGATGCAGCAGTCAAGTGATAGTTTCTCAATTCGGAGACCGGAGCAAATGTGAGTTTTCAAACATTGTTTAAATCATATTTGCTGCCTAGATGATGATTGCAGTTTCTTTCTATCGTTTTGCAGTTTTATTTATTCCTCATGAGTGAGAATGTTTTTCCTAACAGGTTCTTCGTTATACCGCATTATCTGTCAAGATTGAAAGACAAGAAAATGAGCAACTAGTCTAGTCAAATTTTAGCTCTGTAAGATTCTTATCAAGTTTTTTCTTGGTGTTGATTTTCTAGTTTCTTGGTGTAAGATTCTTATCAAGTTTTTTTCTGCTCATAGCATTTGCTAATAAAATGCTTTGGATACCAGAGAGTGGATCAGCAAACGTTCAAGAGGCGATTCAGTAGCCATGAGCAAAGATGGGTCAGGTAAATGATATCTAATTTCTAATTTCTATTTGCATCCCTTGCCTCGTGCATATATGTTTGAGCTGCAGAGAACAAACTTTCCAGAGACGATTTTGTAGCTAAGAGCATATGAGAGGTCAGTAAAGTTAATCTCTCCCTATATTCTCATGTCAATTGTCTCATGTATATGTCCTCTGGTTCATTCATCCCAACAAAATACAACAAATGCGCAAAACAAAATCACACCACACACAATAAAAATCAAACAAAAAAAAACCTCAAAGCACACTCAAATGCAACAAACTCAACACCACATAACAAACAAGCAACACAAAAACACGAAACTCAACACTCAAAAAAAAATTTTCACAGGCAAAGAACTAAAATACAGCACAACAATTAAATTAAACACAAGCGATATTAAAGCAACCAAAAACACAATAACTTCACAAATGATGTCTTTCTTTATTGACAAGAACTTTGTGATTCTGTTGCCGAGTATATTTCAGGTGAAGGACCATTCTCTTCTCCGTTCTCTTTCTTTTCTTAGTTGTTTTAGTGGTCAAGTGGTAGTATTTGAGAAGTTATTATTTACTGACTTAACTGTTTTTGTACTTTTTATGCTACTCCAAAAGAGAAATCCAGGCCAATACAAGCAAATGTGAAGGGAAACCGTGATTATTCAGAATCCAAGAGAAAAAGGAGCTTTAAGGTGAGCTTTCTCGAATTTTTCTCATATACTTCATACCAAATTCTGATTTCTTAACTTTTTTTTTTATCTACTTTTTATGCTACTCGAAAAGAGAATTTCAGGCC